CCCTAAGCGCCTCTACCTACCTACTGAGCCAACTTACTGGCCCTGGACTCTTTTGTTTTTGTTTAAGAAAAAATATAAAGTGGAGACTGAAATTGAGAACTGGATCCAGAAATATGACATGGAGATGACCGAGAAGCAGGTATGTGTTGGGGGCTCCTCCTGCAAGCCAGATCCGTCCAGAAGGATGTTGTCCCCTCCTCCAGCCTGGTTTAGCCCCTGCCTGCTCCCAGTTCAGAGGGGAGTCCACCCCGCTACTGTTACCGAGCACTTACTGAGCACCTAAAAGGTACCAGGCTCCAGAATAAGGCAGGGAGGCACAGCTGTGTCACCTGACATCAGATGGCCTTTTTGAGTTTGGATCTGACCATGAGAAACACAGGCTGCAAGGTGTGTCCTGAGACCCTGACGGGAGGGTTCATGAGACACCATTACTGAATGTGTCTGAGCCCCGAACTAGGTCTAGATAAGTCCTGACCTGCAGTGGGAGCCTAGGTGGACACAGGTGGCCCCTGGCCCTGACCTGGGCAGGCCTGGAGAGCTGAGAGTTCACACCAGACAGTTTAAGGCCACGCCTGGTCAGAGAAAGGCAAGCAGGACCCCTCTCAGTCAGACCAGAGTGCTCCCCTGATACAGGAGCTGTGAGGCTGGTGTCCATTTTATGGGCCCCAGCACAGGTTGTGTGCTGGGTGTGTGGTGTGGCCACAGCTGGGTGGTTCAGCTCCTGCCTAGTGTGCACAGGGTCCGGTACTACAAAACAAACCCTACAGAGTCTCCTGAGTGCCACAGCGGACTCTGACCCTGACAGCTCAGCTCAGTCCTTGTCCTCAAAGTGCTCTGCCCACGGTGGATACTCAGTAGGTGTTGGTGGAAAGAAGGGGCAGAAAGAGAGGAAGGTGGAAGTTGGTGTGAATTGCAGTAAGAGGGATGAGGGACAGAATGGGGGACGCTGGGGTCACCTGAGACAGATCTTTCTGCTCTGAGCCTCTGTGAAGCTGCTCAGTGGTGGTGGCCTGTGTCCCGGCTCTGTGGAGTGAGATCCTCT